GAACAAATTAGAGATATTAAATTTGGAATGAATACAAAGAGAAACCATGGCTAAATTCAGTTCATTTTTAGATCAAAACAGATTCCAATTCTCAATTTCCTTTTTCTTGTTCGCCTTGCTTTTCTTTTCTTAATTTTGGACCTTGAAATAGTTTTACTATTTCCTTATGTGGTCAGTGCCTACAATAACTCTATTTATGGACTTGCTATAGCTATTGTGTTCCTAGTGCTACTTACAGCCGGATTTGTTTATGAGTTAGGACGTGTAGCTCTGAAAAAAAATTCAAGACAATCTAATAACTTAAATAATCTTTTTATCACTCCTGTTTTTTGGTTTCTCATTTTGCCAGTTCTAGTGTCAAAGGGTTTATAAAAATGCAGATACTGGAAAATTTCTATGTGGGTGAATATAAAAAAAAAGTTACATAGGTTCCGCCCTGGATTTAATATAACGATTATATAGATATAATAATATTAAAGATTTAGTTAGTAATAGTTGTATGCCTATTTTAGGGATTTGTTAAAATATGGTTATTCTAAGTTTAGTCTTGAAAATTTATTTAAAAATAAAAAGTTATCAATCTAAGTATATCTATATAGAGGTTCTATATCTTTAAATAGGAATTAAAACTACTTACGATCAACTAAATGAAATAGTTAGAGCCTTAAATACTTGATCTACGAAACGGCTTAGCCCAAAAAACATAACCAGATTTAGGTTGCTCCTGTCTCCTTATCCTCCTGTTATACAAGAGCAAGCATTGCTCCCTTTAGGCAGCCTGTGTGATGGTTCCCTTTAGGCTAGGCAAGTCTTGCTAATTCATATATATAATCTTAATAACAGGAGGGGAAGAAAAGAGTATAATTTAATAGGTAAAATATGAAGCTCCAACCTTTAACTTTCTGGTTCAAGTCCGGATACTCTTGTAATAAGTAGTACGATTATTTTTATTCTTTATTTTAAATAATAAACTTGTTAATTAGATGGTTTAATATAATATATACAGAATTAATCTCTTCAGTCGGTTAAAAAGGCATATTCTCAATAATTAAGGTATAGTCCTATTTTTATAAATAAATGTATATTATAAAATTAGTTATACCTACGGAGTTACTCCTACCCATATGGGAGATAAGTTAATTAATATAAAAATAACAATTAAATTTAAGCTAACATTTTAATGAGTATTCTATGTTGTTTTGTTTGAAGGCCCACAAAAACTCCGTTTCGGGTTTGGTGGGGCTTAGCCAAACAAAAATAGAAGTATTGCTCCTGGGTTTATCTACCAGGAGTTTTTTATTAAATTAAATAAAAGAATGAATAGTAATGTCAAAATTTAAAAGTAATAAATAACATGTTTTTTTATACTAAAAGTAAATAGAAAAAAAATAGAAAGGAAAAACCTTAACGTATGAAAAAGGTAAAAAGCATAATAGAGGCCAAAACAGCCGGTGACCCCTATAGTAGCAGATCTAGTAGTAGCGATGCAAAAGAACTATCCTCTTGTGAGGCCCACAATGATTTTAGATAAGTCCAATTTATAAAGTTGTCAATTAGCTAGCCAAACTAGTAATCGTAGGGATATGGAATCTCCTCGACATAGTCTAAAAGTGCAGGTATGGTAGCACATAATAACAACAATAACAAAAAACAATGAAAAACAATTTAAACCTTTCTCACTCTTTTGTTACTGCTCTAACTTATAGCAACACTGAAATATCTCAGCTCAATTCTTCCAACTCTTACTCGTATATTTTTATGTGTACAAAAAAAAAAAACACTGCTAATAATCTATTTGAAAAGTCCCAAATACTCGAAGATAATAAATCTCGAATATTAAGTAAACATTTTTCTCCTTCAGTTAAAGAATGATATAATAGTATATATGCTTATAATCCTAAATCAACAATATCTTTATTAATAATAGATAAAATGGTAGTTAAAATAATCAAAAGTTATTTTAATTCATTAAATCTAAAAAAATATCTTGCTTTTATACCTATTGTATCACATAAAGTATTTGTAGCAAAACCTGAAATAAAACATACTAATTCTAAAGTTATTATTACATTGTACATTTATTGTGATATGTACAAAAATTTAGGATTACTCTATAAATATATTAATAATGAAAAAAAATACTCGTTAGCTGGCTTTTTGGCCCAAATTTACACTAAAAAAGTAATATTAATAATTATTCAACTTCGCTATTTGCAACTAAATCCTGGTATTATAGCCGAACGTTTAGCAAATGAATTAACCCTATGAAAAAGAAGTCCACTAAGTTCATTAAATAGAATATTAAATAAAGTTAGAATTCCAGAACAAAAAATACATAACTTAGATAAAAATTCATTAGAAAATTTAACGTTACTTAATAGTATCTCTACTATTAAGGTCAAAGATACAAAGGTATTAAGAGAGTTGAACAAAGAATTTATTATCAATGGTATTATTGCGTCTATTAACAGTAAAATAACTACAGGTGTTAAAATTCAAATTGCTGGTAGATTAACTAAACGTGCTACAGCTGCTAGAGCTATGTTTAAAGTTGGGCATATTGGAGTTTTAAAAAATATAGACTCTTCAGTTCTAGGTCGTTCAGTTGGTTTATTAAGAGGTGCAGTCCGACCCAATATAGATCAAACTTCATTTGTGTCAAAATCTAAAAACGGTGCGTTTTCGGTTAGAGTTTGAACATCTTCTTACTATTCAACGTTAGTAAATCCCAAAATTATTCCAGTGGCTGTAAAAAAAAAAAGATCCTAAGATAAAAAAAAAACCAAATCCTTGCGCTTCGCGAAAAAAGGGAAATTTGGTATTTATTGATGTATCATATTTTAATCTAGTAATAGGAACTTAGTAATCTGAGGTACTAATTTACAAAACAAGTTAGTGGTATGATTAAATTACCACTTATCAACGTAGTATGATAGTTGTATTACTTTTATCTGATGGTTGACTTAGTTTTGCTTATTTAGCTAATAATGTTCGTTTGGTATTCGTATAATCTGGAGATCCTCTATATTATTTTTATTTGTGCTTTTATCCTAATCACATTATAATTAAAGGTATATAGAACAAAATTTTAGTATCAGTGGGTTCATGCTACGCTGTGTATCCACCCCATTCTATGAATGGGCTCCATTTCTCCTGTCTCCTTATCCTCCGGGCATATAAGAGCAATCATTGCACCGCAGGTGATGGCTTATTTTAGGCAAGCCTAGCCAACCGCTCATTATTTTCTCTATAACGATATGAAAATACCAATTCTATCGAAGTTGTGTCTTAAAAACATTAGGAGGGTGAATTTCACTGCTTTGGTTGTCACCCACTGTTAGATGCGTAGGTGTGGGCATCTTACTACAAAATTTTGAAAGAACCCGACTTAAATCATTAAGGGGACCCGGGGGGTTAAATTCCTATTAATAGAGTATTTAAAAAGTAGTATTTATAATAATATAATTACGTTATCTTTACGGGGGGCCTAAAGGTAGCGCCCACCCATCTATTTTAGTTGAATATTTAGCCATTTTATTAGGAAATCTAAACATTAATGTATTAAGTTTTTTGAGTCACGTTTTCTTAAGGGTAAATTTTTATAATTTAGGCTTGGGCTCATGCTTTGTGGCGGTGGCAATACCCGCAGAAATACACACGAGTTTTAATTATATAAAAATGATTAATAAGGAACTAGGAATATCCTCTAGTCATATATTTCGCTCCTTAATAAAGTATGGGCGGTCTAGTTAGGAGTGGGCTCTATCCACTCCTAATATTATATTAACCTTCTAAAGGCCGGGGAAAAATTAAAGCTTATAATCTCGATCATGCAAAGTTAGAATAAATACTTGTGGGTCTCCATTCAAGGAAAAATGAGGGTACATAGGTTTTAGTTTTAATTAGGTAATAGGTGAAACTGTTAAATATATTCCATTCGTATAGCAGCAAGAGAGTTAGGTATTTCTCATCCCACTCTATTAAGCTATATCAAAAAAAAACTTTCATTCTTATTAGTTTAATGGTAAAAGTTCAATTATTAAATAAGAATTTTTATTGTTTGTTTTATATTCAGCTTCCGCTCTGCGTTTAAATTAGGTGAAGCATATACAATTAAAAATAATAATAACCCTACATTCTTGTTACTTTAAAATAATCTCAAGTTTCATGCAATAATTAGGATGTGGTACATTAACAACTCGTACCTTTGTAAAGCAGTATTTTTTTGGTACTGTCATCCTTTTTTTTTAAGTAGGTTTTTTAATGAATACAAAGGTCACCTTATATTTGAAGGTTAGAGAAAATTATATAAATTAAGACTGGGATGATTTCTGAAATAAAACAATGGCATAAATAAAAATTTCTAGCTAGTTTTATCTATGTTTAATATTATTAAAATATTCTACTATGACTGTATAATATAGTTAAGGTATAAAAGAAAAACTAATAGATATAAAAAAGTATAACAAAATACTACCGGGTTAGAGGGCGAGTAATTACACTATTACTAAAATGGTTGTATATTTCTCATGGGGTTACTATATAGTTGTATAGTGGTTGGTATGTATTATAAGAGCATAATCTTATTAATTCCATTAATAGTAAATAATTTCTATATATTAAGCTATTTAGCTTAATATTCATTTAATTATTGTTATTTGAATTTTTGTTAATTGGCTAAATTATTATTGTACCTTGCTATTTTTATTGTGATGTGCATAAAGTAAAAAAGGGACGACTTCTTATCGTACGTGATATCCTATTAGTAAAGTATGATAAGTACTCGGTACGCAAAGAAAAAACAATACTTCTGACTCATGCTCTCTTTAGGCTTTGCATGATTTGCGGCTACGCCCGCATGCAGGCTGGGGAGCTTGCGAAGCAATGCGTCGGCGTCTCCGCCCGCCCTCCATTCTAACTTTTTAATGAAAAACAAAGGACAGAATAATAAGATAAATCCAAAATTTATCTAATAATATATCTGATAAGGAAAATTAAAATTATTTATATTTAATATTATGTCTATTTCAAGTTTATTTTATACTTTACTATCCGTACTTGAGGTTTTACTGGTAGTTGTACCATCATTAATGGTTGTAGCTTTTATTACTCTAGCTGAAAGGAAAACAATGGCGAGCATGCAAAGAAGAATAGGCCCAAATTTTGTTGGATTCTATGGCTTACTTCAGGCATTTGCAGACGCTTTAAAATTACTTTTAAAAGAATATGTATCACCAACACAAGCTAATTTTTTATTATTTTTCTTAGGTCCTATTATAACCTTAATATTTTCACTGTTTGGTTATGCTGTAATACCTTATGGTCCCGGTTTAGTCATATCAAATTATAATTTAGGTATATTATTTATGCTAGCAGTTTCTTCTTTAGCTACATATGGAATTTTTTTAGCTGGATGTCAATTTTTTAATTGATCCTTGAGATTATTCAATTATATTAATTTAAATATAAGTCACAATTACTTATACCGTTTAGTTTTTGGATGTATCGTCTTCTTCTGTTTACTTTTATTTTTAGCTCCATTATGTACTTTACATTTTAAAGAATTATACTTATCTTGTGGCTGCGTAGCAGACAAACCAGAGATTAATCATATAGAATATCTACTTAGTGTTATTACATCTCATAAAGTAAAATCTAATATCACTGTTGTAAAATTACAAACACGTAAAGTTCAAACGACAAAGTCTTTAAAATCAATAAAGACTCCAGATAGTTATGCTTCAAATACGATTAAATCCTTACATTCTTTCTTTATTAAAGAACTTTACAAAGACAGGAAAGCTCCTGTCATACCTTTTAATAGAGAATCTATATTAGCTACTTGTTATAATTGCTTAGATAAAAATATAAGATCTGAATTCTTAAAAGAGTGAGGGTCAAAACCCTGTATTTACCTAATTGAATATAAATATGATCCTCTTATTTATTACATAGGTAGAACTACTCTATTTAAAAGAAGATTTAATAATCACCTAAAAGCAGAATCTGCTAGCAAATTACATTTATTTTTAAGTTTAGTGGGTTGAGAACATTTTAATATTTCTATAGTAGAGGTATGTAGCTTAGATAATCAGGGAGAAAGAGAGAATTATTACTTGCAAAAATACTTACCTCTATTAAACTCTATATTTTCTTCATCTATTACTGAGTCTTCAATCAATATTACCTTGAAAGATAAATTATACGCGCTAAAGGCTTCTAAACTTACTCATTCATCTAAGAGTACCCTATATTATGTTTATAATATAGATGATAAAGGTATAAATAAATCATATGTACTGTTTAATAGTATGGCGGATGTTAGCTCAGCTCTCGGAATTAATATAGCTAGTATAAGTCATTATAGAAATACACCCATACCATTTAAAGGTAAATTGTTTTATACTAATCCTATTGTAGATTTTAATCAGATATTTGAAGCATCTAAGATAAATACGCCCTGTGGTTTATTAAATCAAGTTATAGCTGTTAAGGTTTGATGTTACGATGCAAAAACTTTGGATTTGGTAATAGGTAGTCCTTTTGACTCAAAAACAAAGGCATCTAAAGCATTGGGGATAAGTAGATCAGTTATAGACTATTTTTTAGACACAAGTAAACCCGAAGGAGTTAAAGGAACATATTTATATACTAGACCTCTTACAGACACAGAAATTAAAAATCTTCTTTTAGTTTCAGAAAACTTACAACTAGGTAATAAAGTAAAAGTTTGAGTATATAATGCTAAAACCTTTGAGCTAATAAACAACTCACCTTTCCCTAGTTTACTGGACGTGGCTAATTATTTTAATGTTAATTATCGAACTATTACTAGACATTTAGACACAAAGTTAGCCACAATGCAAAATCAAACTTTGGTTTATTTTTTCAAAAACCAGGTATCTTCGGAATTAATAGATGAGCTTAAAAAAGATAAACCAGCTATAGCTAGCTATGCCCGTTCCAAAATTTGGGTGTACAAAGTAGATGCTAACGGGAAATTAACTTTAATGCGTAATCAAGTTTTTAATACTAAACGAGAGGTCATTAGAGAAATAGGTATTCATATTCGTGTGTTAAATAAATATCTAGATACTTCTCAGGTTTACAGAGATATGCTTTTCTTTACCTATCCTCGCCACAGATAAGTTTATTATGAATTATATTCATAATAATATGTTTATAATTTTTAACATAAATATTTATAAAAAATTATAAGTAAATCAGAATATTAGATCAATACCCCCCTTACTACGAATATATGTAGTATTTAAATATTATATAGAATGGATAATCTTATAGATTAAAATTTAGTCCCCCAATTATGTGAATAATTAGTGATAAACTGAGTGAATTTCAAGAAATACTTAAAGTAAGTAAACTTGAAGCGAAACATATTTATTTAAAATATGTACGTTCAACGACTAGTAGATTTGTTTATAATAACAATAATTCTACTACGAGCGCTCAGGGTCTTGCTTTTTATCTATTTTTTATTTGTAATATTTGTTTTAATATTACAAAAGTACTATTTTTTATGGCCTGACTGGTTTTTATTAATAAAGATGGTTATGATAGTTTAATAATGTTCAATTTTTTATCTATATATTTCAAACACCCTAAAGGTTTAAAGCAATCTTTTTCTACTAAAAATAATAAATTAAGCCTTGAAGAGTTAAAAGATTTACATTTACCCTATATAAAAGAGCTTTATAGAGATAGAAAAGCTCCTATTATTCCTTTTGATCGTAGCTTAATTATGGCTACTTGTTCTCATTGTTTAAATCTTAAGGTAAAAGCCGAATTCTTAAAACAGTGAGGATCTAAAGGTTGTCAGGCGAAAAATAGTACAAGTAGGGATAGGTTTTTTTTCTTATGTACAAAAAGTTTAGTTTTCTAGCCTTCATCTTTAACTAAAATTATGAAAAAAAAGCTTTGCAAGATTAAGACATAGTCTGAGCCATTTTACGAGAAATGGAAGTAAAAGATAAACACTTTTACGGTAACAATACTGTATATTATAAATATAAAAAATTAGTTAAGTTTTTATTTCCAATTTGATTAATACTTTTAATCATACTTATACTGGTAATCTATATTTTTCCTTTTATTTTTTTTAATTTAAATCTTACAACTGCCTTTGATCATTTTTATATGTTGTCTTTTAGTATTATTACCTTAGATAGAAAATTTATAAGTACTAACTCAAAAAAAGAATCTGTGCCTACATGTAAATTAAATCCTTATTATGTTACTGGTTTTTCTGACGGTGAGAGTTGTTTTACAGTTCATATTTATAAGGATACCCGTCGTAAAAACGGATATAATATCGTTCCTCTTTTTTCTATAAGTTTACATAAAAAGGATATTGAGCTATTAAAAAGAATTAAAACTTACTTCGGGGAGGTAGGTAATATTCGTGTAATAAAAAAAGTTTGTTATTATCAAGTTGGATCATTAAAAGAGTTAATTACTGTTATAATACCACACTTTGATAAGTATGCTTTACTTACAAATAAGAAAGCAGATTATATTTTATTTAAATCAATATTAGATATTATGCTCAGAAAAGAGCATTTGACTGAGGAAGGTTTAAAAAAAATTATTGCAATTAAGATGTCAATTAATAAAGGATTATCAGATTCTTTATTAAATTCCTTCCCTCGTATTATTCCAGTAGTAAGACCTTTATGTAAGGTCCCTGAAAATCTTAGTATAGACCCTTATTGATTAACTGGGTTTACAGATGCGGAGGGCTGTTTCTTAGTTAATATTTTTAAATCTAAATCTAAGGTAGGTTTTACTGCGAGAGTAATTTTTAATATTACTCAGCATTCACGTGATGCTAAATTAATGCAAAGTTTAGTTACTAATTTTGGTTGTGGGCAATATTATAGCCCAAAAGGGCAAAATTATGGAAGTTTTTATGTTACCAAGTTATCAAGCATTATAGATAAGATCATTCCATTCTTTGAAAAATATCCTTTATGTGGTGTAAAAGCATTGGAATATACAGACTTTAAAAAGGTATCTTTGATAATCCAAGAGAAAGGTCATGTTACTGAAGATGGATTAGCTCAAATACGGTTAATTAAATCTAATATGAATTTGCTTAGAGCCCATCAAGATATTGATGTGAAAAACGTGGATATATTTTCTAGTTAGTTCTTACTATAAAAGTATTAATATTATTGCAAAGTTTTTTTTTTATTAGTGTTGCTTATTCTTTATTTTTTTTTTCAAATATTTATATAAAAATAATATAAAGTAAACACCTAAGGTTAGATGTTGGCAGATTTTCATAATAGTGACAAAACACCCCAATATAAATATAACCCTCTTATTTATTATATAGGTAGAACTTCCTTATTTAAAAGAAGATTTAATAATCATCTTAAAGCTCATTCAGGTAATAAATTGCATGTTTTCTTGAATTTGGTAGGTTGAGAACATTTTAATATTTCTATAATAGAAGTGTGTTCTCCTGAAGAACAAGGCGCAAGGGAGAACTACTATCTACAAAAATATTTACCTTTATTAAATACTACTTTTTCTTCATCTTTCTCTGAATCTGCTATTTATTCAAGCTTAAACCTTAAATTAGCTGAACTTAGAAATACTCAAGGTAACATTATAGGTCAAGCTATTCCTACTTATGTTTATGATATAAACGATAAAGGTATTAGTAAAACTTTTGTTAAATATAATAGTATTACTGAAGCTAGCTCTCTTGAAAAAAGAGCTAGAAATACTTTAGGTTTGTATTTAGATACTAATATACCATTCAAAAATAAATTATATTTCTCCAAACCTATATTAGATTTTGAGTCTACATCTAAATTAGTTAAAAATCTATCTAAGGATTTAAAGCTTGATAGTAATATAGCTAAAGAAGTTTGAGCTTATTATGCAAAAACTTTAAATTTAATAGCAGGTAGTCCCTTCTCTTCTAAAACTCAAGCAGCTAGTGCTATAGGAATTAGTCGTAATGTTATTACCTATTTTATAAATACCTGAAAACCTGAAGGAGTTAAAGATACATATTTATTTAGTAAACAACTTAATAATAAAGAAGTTGAAAAACTTCTTGATACTACACATCCATCGGTGTCTGGTAAAAAAGTAAAGGTTTGAGCTTATAAAGCTCAAACATTTGAATTAATAGAGGGTTCACCTTTTTCTAGTTTACTTACCGCTGCTAGTTATTTTAATGTTAATTATCGTACTATTAGTCGTCATTTGGATACTAAATTAGCTACTAATTTAAATAAAACTTTTGTGTATCTTTTCAGTAAAGAAATTAGTTTAGATTTAAAATCAGAACTTTTAAATAATACATCTAAAGTTCATTATGTTCGTACTGAAATATGAGTGTATAAAGTAGACGATAAGGGTGTATTAAGCTACTCGTGGGAACAATACGAAAATAAAAAGTATGGACTCATACAAATATTGCCGGGTTAGAGGGTGGGATTGCTTGACGTCTAATAATGTCAAGTGGTTGGCATGTATTATAAGAGCATAATCTTATTAATTCCAATAATAGTAAATAATTCCTATATATTAATACTTTTAGATTAATATGTATTTAATTATTGTTATTTTATATTTTGTTTATCCGAATGTTCCTAATACCTACAGTTATCAACAAACTGCACCAGAGAGACAGATAATGAAAAATAAAGAATTTATAAAATATCAAATGAAAAATAATTTAAATGAAATATCACCAGTTGCTGTATATTCAAATGCTTCTCTTCAGAAGGAGGAAATTCTAAAAGAGAACAAAGGAAAATCAGGTGTTTATCGTTGAAGAAATTTGGTAAATGGTTTAACTTATATAGGGAGTGCTGTTGATTTGGCTAATAGGTTTAATTTATATTATAATTTTGACCATTTAATTAAAGTTAATATGGTTATTAATAAAGCTTTAAATAAATATAAACATTCTAATTTTAGTTTAGAAATTCTTGAATACTGTGAATCGTCGGATGTTATTTCAAGAGAACAATATTATTTAGATTTACTCTGTCCTAAATATAATATATTAAAAATAGCTGGATCGAGTTTAGGTTTTCAGCATTCAGAAGAAACTCTTAAAAAGATGAGAGAAAGAAAACATTCTGAAGAAACTAAAATTAAAATAAGTAAATCCCATAAAGGAAAACCTCTTTCCGAAAAAGCTCTTGCAAAATTAATAGGAAGAACTGTATCAGAGAGTACTAAAGCTAAAATGAAAATTTCAGCTTTATATCGTTCAAATCATAACAGAGGTAAAGCTATAAGAGTTACTGATAAAGAAACAAACAAAATTTATAATTTTTCTAAAATAAGTGAATTATCCAAAATGTTTGGAGTAAGTTTACAGTATTTTTCTAGTCGTTTTGGAAAAAAAGGAAACCATTTTATATATAAAAATCGTTATTTAATAGAAAAAATTAAAAAAGATTAATACTAAATAAATTTTGATCATTTTCATTTCCTTTGAAGCTTCTCGTGTTCTAGGTATACACAATACTGTGATAAGTAGATTAATGGATTCTTCTAAAATATATAAAGGGTTACTTATATACAGTTCTCCTCAACATCTATATTCAAATATCAAGGATGCAGGTTTGCCAGATAGTGAACAGGATAAGTAGAAGAAAGAGTAGTTTATTATAAATAACTTTTTACCTTAGTTATATTGGTTTGCTGAAAATATATTTTTTATTTACTATTATTATACATATAAAAATTTTTGTCACTAGATCCATCTATTATTTTGTACATTAGTGAAAAAGGTTCTATCACTAATCATGGAAAAAATATAAAAACTAGATTATGAAATAGTCTGAACCATCTTGTGAAAGATGGAAGTAAAATCTAAATAATTTTACGTTAACAAATTTGGAGCTGCTAATTCTAAATATTCTTTTTTAGGGTCAAAATGGCCCGTGAAAGATTTTAATCTTTCAATGCAACAAACTATAAGCGGGAAATTCATGTATAATTTATTAGGTACTTTAAAAAAAGGGATCGTTTTTACCTCAGCTTTTACTGTTCCGCTGTTTAGATATTATGGCTCGGAATCTAAAGCTAAACAGCTTGAAAATCAAATTTATCCTTACTATGTAACAGGGTTATCAGATGCAGAAGCATCGTTTATTCTTTCAATATATAAGAAAAAAGATTCTAAAACAGGATGACAAGTTCAACCGGTCTTTGCTATTCATATGCATATAAAGGATATAGATCTATTAAAGAGCATTCAATCCTTTTTCGGCGTAGGTGTCTTGGTAAGTAGTAAAACTACAAATTCTGCAAGATATTCTGTAAATTCTCTCAAAGATTTAATTAATATAATTATCCCTCATTTTTATAAGTACCCATTATTAACTCAAAAACGTGCAGATTTTTTTTTATTTAAATCTGCGGTTTTATTAATAGAACAAAAAAAGCATCTAACAGTTGGGGGTTTACATGAAATTGTTAATATTAGAGCTTCTATGAATAAAGGTTTAACTAAAGTTTTGGCTGATAATTTTCCTTATACGATGCCTGTAGCTAAGCCTTTAGTTGAAGTATCAGAATTTATTGATTCTTATTGACTGTTAGGATGTATGGAAGGGGAAAGTTGTTTTTTTGTAGGGGTAACTAACAATAGACTTACTAATACTAAGTTTAGTGTTAATTTACTCTTTAAACTTACTCAGCATAGTCGTGATATTGAACTATTGAGAAATATAGCGAAGTTTTTGGATTGCGGGTTTATACAAGAGTCTACACAAATTGTAAATCTACTTTGTAAAAAATTCAGTGATATTGAAGAAAAGATTATACCATTCTTTGATAAATATCCCTTACTGGGTTCTAAAAGACTTGACTATGCAGACTTTTACAAAGTATTTAAGTTAATGAAAAACAAATCTCACCTAACATTAAAAGGATTAAATGAAATTCAAATTATAAAAGCTGGTATGAACAGGGGAAGAGATTATAATGGAGAGGTCGACGCCCATTCAGTCTCTTATAGCGAGCCCCCCACCCTCCGTGTAAGTTGCAGTTTATGCGCCTCTAAAGTAAAAACCCTTTTAAATATGTATAATCCGCAAGTAACCAAAGCGTTTAACTCGCAAGTAGGAACTTCAGAGGCCATACGTTTGTTATCTATAGACACTAAATTAAGAGGAAGACCACCAGTATATGGAGGGTCTCACCATAATTTAAAAAGAGATGAAAAATGAAATCAATGATTGGCGGGACTTATAGATGGAGATGGATATTTTCATTTAACTAAAAAAGGATACGCAAGTTTAGAAATCACAATGTATCTTAGGGATGAACATGCTTTACAAATTGTAAAAAATGTTTATGGTGGATCTATTAAATTAGTATCTGGTGCAAATGCATTGAGATATTGTTTACGTCATAAAGCTGGTTTTTTAGCTTTAGTGAATGATGTTAATGGACTTATCAGAAGTTCTAATAGATTAGTTCAATTAAATAAAATTTGCGATAAATATGAGTTAGATTTAATCTATCCCTCAAAATTAAACTATGATAATGGTTGATTAGCAGGGTTTTTTGATGCTGATGGTTCAATCTCTATAAATACTACTAATGGACAATTATCTATTAGTATTGCTCAGAAAACAGCTGAAATGTTATACCCTTTAGTTGAACTTTATGGAGGTACAATTTATATTAATAAATCTGGACTTTCATTTAAATGATATATAACTAAACTAGAAGATATTCTTAACATAATTGAATATTTTAAAAAATATCCTGCAAGATCTGCTAAAAAAAATAGACTTCATTTAATTCCAAAATGTTATGAGCTCAAAGATTTAAAAGCTCATAAAGCATTACCTGGAACTCTTTTAAATAAAAGTTGACAATACTTTATCCAAAAATGGAAAAAATATGAAGATTAAATCTTAATTTAGTTGTTTATATTTAAATATATGGTCCGTATATTTTTCATTAAATATAAGCACTTCGTAGTACAGCTCAATTAATTAGTTATGAGTTAGTTTTAAGTTCTGCTTTGTTAATTGTGATTATGTTTACAAATAGTTTAAACTTAAGTGTAATTGTAGAATCTCAAAATCCTATTTGGTTTATTCTACCTTTATTCCCCGTATTTTTAATTTTCTTTATAGGAACTTTAGCAGAAACCAACAGGGCGCCCATGGATTTAGCTGAGGCTGACAGCCACAAACTTATCTCCACCCTGCACCTCCGGTGAGGGAGCGAGGGTGGAGGAGAAATGATTTGGCCTAATTAAAGACTGCTATATGCTGGAAACCTCTGACAACTAAGATACTCTATATAGTTAAAGTAACAAAGCTTAGTTTTGAGCAATCAGCAGGAACCAAAAATCGTTATATAATAAATGATTTAGTTGTATCCTCAGAGACTACAAGTGGTTATTTAATAATTTTGTTTTTATTGAATATTATATAGTCCGATATGTATAAATATATATGGATTATGTTCATATTAATAGTTTTAATGTAAATAGGTTTAATATAAAAATATATTAAATACGAAGGGCGGTATTATTAAAAGTAAATAATAAATAAAAAGAATTTTTTTTTGGTGCTGGCAAGCAAGCAAGCACGTGATTTTTTTTTAGTTGTTATAGTACTTATCTCAAAAAAAGCTAATAAAGTTTAATCTAAACGGGATACTAAGGAAATAGGAAAGACTATAAGGCCAAAATTCAATAAATAAATTATTACTAAAGAGTAAAACAACAAACCTATTCGTGAATAATATTTCTATAAATACGCATCTGTTTAGTAGAAGTTATTCTACTTCCACTAGGTCCTCAGATATACCTTTACCGATAAAAGTCTTGAGTAAATTAAATGATAAGAATTTTATAGATTCATGCCATAGTTTACTAAGAAATAAAGGAGGTATCTATAGTTTTTTTAATACTGTAAATATATTGGTAGTGCAAAGGATTTATATTTAAGACTCAATGAACATCTTTCAGGTAAAAAGTCTAATATTGCATTACAAAGAGCAATCGAAAAACATAGTTTAGAGAAATTTAACTTTTATATTTACGAATATTTTTCTTATGAAAGTAAACTTATTAGTGATATAGCTTTAACTGATTTAGAAACTAGTTATATTAAAAAATTTTACTTTGAAACTTTATACAATTTTAAAAAAACAGCAACAAGTCTTGAAGGTTATAAACATACTGAAGAGGCTAAGCTAAAGATGATAAATTGATATAAAGACAAACAAAATCATCCTATGTTTGGTAAAACCCATACAAAACAGGCAAGAGAATTAATTAGTAAACCTGGAAAATTAAATCCTATGTATGGGAAAAACCATAGTGAATCAACTAAAGCAAAGATGAGTACTAAAAAGAATAAATATCCTTTAGGAGTAAGTATCTATGACTTAGATTTAAATTTAGTTAAGAAATTTAACAATAACGTTGAATTAGCTGAATTTTTAAATATATCTAAAACAACAGTAGGAAAGTATTTAAACTCAGGAAAAATTTACAATAATATATACCATTTTAAGGTAAATACTTAATAAAATTAATGAGTATAATGTTTTAAGCCCGAAGCCAGCGGCCAACTCAAGCCCGTGCGCAAGTCGT